AGCGCCACACCCCCTCCCTTCCTTCCTTCCTTCTCTATCCTGCCTGTAGAGTCTATAGGCCGTAATGCTAACTGCCCAGTTGTGGGATGAACCCCACCACGTTTCTGTAAGCTCTACTATGTCTGGGTTTGAACTGGCTATTCTGAGGGAGAGTTCCTCCTGTTTATTCCCCATACTACGAGCATTGGTATACAGGCATTTAAGGCCTTGCATAGCTGCGTGTGCCACCCCGCAATTAGGAAGACTATCTGGACCACTGTTTCTTACCTGGGCACTCCTTGCATGTGTCACCTGTCTTGCTTGGGTGGTGTCTCCATGTCTTCCTGCGGCCCCCTCCCCCGGCGAGGCTAATTTAAAGCTCGTCATACGAGATCAGCCAACCTGGAAGAGAAGACACGCTTGCCTTTAGGAGAGAGATGAAGCCCATCCCGCCCCAGCAAGTCCCCTTACTGGGCTGGGTCTATGTGGGCTTAGCCAGAACCTATACCCATACCATGGGTACTTAGAAATTCGTATTAAGTTCCCCACATCTGTGGCTGGGGTGGAGAAGGAGGTGAACTCCATTGCCCTAATGTGCCCGGACCCAGGTTGGATAAAGGGGGCCTCCCTCCTCATTGGGACCAACTCCATTATATTCTAAGACCTGGCCTGATATTGTAGGCAACAGGCTGGCCCGGAATATCAGGAGCAGTTACCAATGCACACTCTATGTTCTGAGTCCTATGCCCGCTGGGAGAGGAAATGTATGGGAAAATCCCCCCAAATACTGGGAGCTTTGCATTTCTCTGGGATGGCCCCCCAGAAAATCCCTGCCCAAAGCCAGTGGGCTCTACCCACTACATGCAGGTGTGGCGGAGAGCCCCAGCAGCTAGGACCCATTGTGGTAGAGACCCTCTCTGAAAAAAGGGGATTGGGGACTTTGAGAGTCCCCATTGGAGTATTCGAGGCTCAAGAATTGAAAGGGGAGCAAGTCACTGTAGTGGTGGAAAATCCTTCCCTAATAGATGTAGTCGTGCACCTAGTGCAAAAAGTGGCCCCTGTATGGGAAGCAGACATGGTGAATCTGGGAAAAAAAGGACAGTGCCCTGCACATCGATCCTAACTGGTTTTTCTTTGGGGGTTCCCCCGCACCTGAGGAATGGAAGGTCCAATTACAGAAAAAACTCCAGGACCAGGCCAACGTATTTTCCCTGCAGGACTGGAATGTAGGGGAGGCAAAAGGAGTTGAGCACCAGATATGCCTTAGCGATCCCAGACCCTTTTGTGAAAGATCATATCACATACCACTGGCTGAGATGGGAGAGGTCCGGCTGCATCTGCAGGAGCTCCTTGACCACAACATCATCACCCTTAACTATATACACTATACATGTGTATATAGTTAAGTCTGCTGACTGTCCTGGCCTGGTTCTATAGGGATGGAGGGAAACTGAGCGGTCTGCAGTGCCCACCCCACAACACACCTGCCAGCTAACAATCCCCTTCAAATGGAGAAGGAGAGTATATACCCAAGTTATCTGGGCTACATATACCTTGCTGGATAATAATAGAAGGAATTCATGTCAGATCTATTGGGAAGGAGCAAGGGTGTCAAGTTAGTAATTGTTATTAGCTTCCATATGAACAGAAACAATAACAGCAATAACAGCAGGGTTGAGTTACCCCATCTATTGTCCCGCTTAGTAAAAGATGCTGTCCCAGTGGCAACCAATAATAGAGTTAAATAGAGGAAAATCATGAGTCAAGATGAATAAAAGTCAAATGGTGAATGAAGGTCATTAAATTAGAAAATGTTTGATGTCTGTAGCATAGTATTGTGGTGGCCGACCGGCTGCCGGGCTGTGGCCAGGAGCCCGAACCGTCAGGTGGGTACTTTGACGCGTGGAGTGGAATTAGGTACAGATGCGTATTGGTTGCAACAAGGTTGTTTACTTACGCTACTGATGTGTGCAGTGTAGGATGAACTGGCTTAATTGCAGTTACAATCGAGTTACAAATGTAGCGAGAGAAACGTAGCAAGAGCCCTTGAAGCGAGACGAGACGTTCCATAAATGAATTACCGAGCACGCAGGAAAGGGGGTACGTCGGGGAGGTCAGTGACGGGGAGTCGTTGATGGGTGATCAGTCCGCCAAGTTTACTCCGAGGTGTATCCGGAGTTCTCCAACGTGGGGGGAAACTGCACGGACTTTTATACGTTTAGAGTAGCCAATGACGGGCTGCTAAGTAGAGCGCGGAATGGCTGATGTCACAGCACGCTTCCATGACCAAATTTGGGAGTGGAGATCAGTCCATACGGTCTATTGTGACATGGGCACTTGCTCGACTTGGTTATGACATGCCCCCTTGGCCATGGCACAATAGACAAAGGGTTTAGGTTAGAGATAATTTTGTGTCATAACTTTGGTTCTAACATACTGGAAGAGATAACGGATTGCTCCAATACCTATACAAACAGCAAAGAGGGGCATTAACAAGGTTATTAAAGGGGTTAACAAATACATAAGCCAGGAGGAACCGAGTTGGTGGTGTTCGGTGCCGTCAGGTCTGCCTCATTGGACTGCTGTGACGTCGTGGCTGCAGCGAGTATGATTGCGACGACCGCAAACAGTCTCGTCATGGCGCCAGGAGTCAGCGCGCCGCCGTCTCCGCAACTCTGCCGCTTTCACGCCGCCCGGTGCTGGACCTGGGGGGGGTGGAAATTGAGAGCAGTAACGGGGTCAACTAAAGGGAATTTTCTCATAGGGCAGAACGACAAGTTAACCAGTTGTGATGGGCTAAGATTGGTAATCTTGGTACTTGAAGCCCAGTTCAGACGCCAGATGTCGTTGACCCTCATCCCCTAGGATGCGCAATTGCTGTTTCGTGAGCCTGGAGTGGTTCAGGAGAAACCCGAACATGGCTCTTTCCTCAGGTGTTCTTTGGGGTAGCGGCTGTGATTCTCACCGAGGATTGGGTTCGTAGCGCCTCGGTTGTTGGGGCTCAACTGGGTATGCGGTGAGACGGTTCGGTGCGTCAGCTGAGTCTGTAGTCATTGATTTCACGAGGGCTTGTAGCTGCGGAAGTTGGCTTAGGATGTTCCCGGCTGGTTGGGTGGCTAGCGGGTTGAGGAGGAGCCGGAGGGTAATAGTGCTCTCTCCCCCGTAAACTTCTACGCAAGCTTCTATGGCTTCGAGAGTAGGTGGAATTGCCCCACGATTTCGTAGGTGGCGGTGAGGCCATGCCCCATTGCGCTGGGCTTGTGTCAGCCCCAGCTGATACACTCTTGGGTTCCAGGAGCAGTATGAAACCCCTATTATAGCCAGCAGAAGTTGTTCCGCACTGGCCCTTGGTGGGTGGCCGTCGTGCCACGCGTGGGATTTGTGGCTAACTTGGCCTGCAGCAAGCGCTGGAAGTGGGATGGGCCAGTGAACGTTACCCGCTACCACGTCCAGGTCGGTGGGGTGCCCCCCCCCCCATGA